TTTTAAGAGGATGCGCCCAGCATCGATAGGAAATCTTAAACGAAGATCAAAGAAGTCTCAATTTCCAAAATGTGACGTTAATACATTTTGCTTGAAAAACAAATCTCCAATTTTACATACATTTTATATGTATATAACATATTTATGAATTATGAAATATTTTGCTAAAAGTAAAGTTGGAAATAAAAAAAAAATATAATAAGATGTAAAATAAAGAAATAATTACGCAATTTTTTAATCAAAGTATTTGAGATAAAAAAACAATTTTTTTACTAAAAAAAACGCAAGAAATTTTAAGACTTAACACATTATATTCGAACTATTTGTAAATATGGTGCGACAATCAAGCGTATTTTTATAATTCTCATAGATTAAAAGATTTCTTTATTTATTCTATGAGTCTTGAAAAATGATTTCGTATATTAAACGAGATATTGAATTATTTCCTATATTAGGAATATCGGAAGCGGATTATTTTGATATTGGCTCGACACGTGTTCCGTAAGGATTCGAAGCGGCGATACGGGAGATGACGCCTTGCACAGATGTATACCGCGTGCTCTGGCGTCGGCGGGAGCGTATATGAATTCTCGACGTCGACGAAATTCGACGGTGGGCGTCGGCGTCGCGCCGTCGGTGCGTCTAAATTAGGGCAGAGTAACGCAACACCGATTCTCCTCTCGAGTCGCGAAAACGTGGAACGTGCAAACATCTTAATAATCATCACTGACGATGATCTGGAAGGCGTGTTTCGCGTGCGTTACTGCAACCGCGTCGTTCTTCGCTTCAGAATAAATATGTCAACATGTGTAGATTCGCGTGTATATCTATATTAAGGAAATTTCGAGTTGATCTTTATAAAAGCATGCGAAAAGTTTCGCGATATTCTTTTGAAAAATTTGCATATGTTGTATTCAAAATTATGCCTTTTTCTAATTTCTTTTTTATTTTAAATCAAACATTCATTAATTTCTACGAAAGATATTTAATTCAATTAAATATTGAATATTGAATTTTTGTGTCAAATAGTTCACATTGTCATTGTAAATCGCGATATTATAATCGCGTAATTAATATACTACACGTAACTGCTTACAAAACTATGCTCTAATTGCACTTTAAGAGAATTATTACGTTATTATGCAATTATAGTGTTATTATCGTAATCTACTTCCAAACCAGGAAACCGGCAAATTAGGGTTACATCGTTTGGCGAGGTAGCATCATCGCGCACAAGGCACTTCGCTAATCTAAATGCAAAGTTCCAAGACATTCTTTCTCGAGAAAGTAGACACGTCACATTCAAAATTATTTCCCTTCAATTGCTCCCTCATTCCACGTTAAACGTTCGTCAATTCTGCGAGGCGTAGTTGATTCTAATCTTTATAAATAGACGCGTATTAAGCACGAGTAACTCGTGCCAGTAAAACAATGCGAATCATTGTATGGCAGCCTGACACTGTACGTTGAATTCTCGGAACGCGACCTAAACGAGAACCCGAAGATGCTCGCGTCGAACGAACGCGGAGGAGCAAAAAAACGCAGGATAAAATCGGCAGGAATTATCTGACATCAGAAAATCCAAAATCATTATAAATAGAGCTGCCGGAGGGCAGGGAATTACAGAACGGAAGCTATTCATAGCGTTGCAGCCATTTTCCGGGACTCCGCGGTGTTAAACTTAGACGCCGCGCGACCCAGCGAATCTCGGATCCACGGCAGAAAAATAAGTTTGGCCGACGATCCGAGTCGAGATCCGAGCAGGACTCGGTGGAATACATCGGAAGATTTTTAAGTTAATGTCTGAGAAAGAACTGTCGCAGTTTGAAACGTAATAAGTCCGCCTGTGGCCTCCAAATCTGTGACAGCGTGTGCATCGATAAAGACGACGATTAAATTTATATTTCCTTCGACTTTTTATTCTTCTCCAATTGCAAAATTTATATTTCTTGTTATTTGACGAATGACCTAACAATCATAACTGTTATCATTATTTACAAAAGACATTATTTTCAATTTCTGACAGTTACGAAAGACCCTATTATTTTTACTCGACAGTCGTTTAATTCTGACTTGTAAGGGTTTTTCTTCTTGAGAATTATTTCATTACGTTAACTTTGAATTAAATATAAAATTTTTATATGTAAAAAATAAATTATAATACACTTGAATTGTAAATAACTTAAAACAATTGTGGCTGCCTTTCTAACATTGTTATTAACAATAATTTGTATATAAAGATTTAAGTTTAGCCACGATGAAAACCGAGAGCCGAACATAATCCTCGGGTGTATGATTTCCCTTGCAAGGATATCGTCCTTGTCAATAATGTTCCGTTTATCTCGTTACCTTCGACCGCCTTTTTATCGCCGGTGATCAATGGCAATTCCTAAAGTTAACCCAGATTTCCCGATCCCTTGACGATTCTAACTATGCTCAGGCGAGGCCTCTAGCCAACTAGTGATAGAGTCGAACTTCTAACTAATAAAATTAATTATTCGAAGCCTGCAATAAAACAAAATTTTCTCCTATAATGATAAAGTTTTCTTGAGGCTTGATAAATATATTAATAATCCTTTACGATGATTTAGATTAAACCTTGATCGAAAATCTAAATATCTTGTGCTTTTTTCTAAACAGTAATTGTGTTTAGATTAATCAATTTATACTCTTGTATATTTTCACATTAAGAGTTTATTACAAAGTGAAAAAAGAGAAATTAATTAAAAATAATATTATTTTTTAACAATATCGTTAACATTCAATTTACTTCATTCATGCGGCAATCACCGAAGTATCGTTCATGTACACTCAACATCAAATATCTACCGGTTGTTAGAAACACGTTTCGTTCGCCCGGATTTTCCAAAATCCGTACAACAATTTTTACAACGAATCGAGCTACGATTAGCACAAATGGTATGCGGCGAGTCCTGTCGCACGCACACAACGACAAATTTCCCCGATAGTTTCAGGGTCATAAACATAGACAGCGTGACCAACGGAAAAAAACAATGCTGTCTCTTGAATCTGTCAAGAGTAGCCATTACGAACAAAAAAAAACACAAAGATAAATCACAAGTCCTGAGGGAAGGGTCTTTTATGAACTTATTTATTCATAGTGTCTGATTTCGTTTATTTATAACCCGCCCTAAGGGCGTCTTAACATCAACACAAGAAAGAAAAAAACAACAAAAATCATTTACCGTGTCGAGTTTGTCAATCCGGGGGATTGCTTGAACTCGAATAGGGAAACTTTCGCGATGGAGCTCCATGAAGCGACGTGCGAAGTTACGATGGGTATATATATAATTTTGCAGGACTCTTTCCGCGGCCTGCGGAGTTTCCGAAAACTCCTGTCGCAGCCCTACACCCTTCGAGTTTCCCGAGAGCAAGAAGTTCGCCGTTTCTCCGGGACACCGTAGTGCACGTTCTCGAGTACGGGAAACGGCGATAATAGTACGGCGGTGATAGTAGTGATAGTAGTAGTAGTAGCGGTGACTTGGTAGTACAGTGCTAGTATAGTAGTAATAGTAGTATAAACACAAGTGGTACACAGTGGTCGGAGTGAAGTGTGGAAGTCGAGAGATCTGTCTCGGCGGTGAGTCGCGGCGCGTCGAGCTCGACGACGAGCAGCAGCGACGAGGACACCGGGATCCTCGACGGAGGGGGACGGAGAAACGCTTTTTAATTGTCGGAGGTGTTTCCGGTCGCGCCGCTCACTCTCTATCGTCGATCGACCTCGTCGACGAACCGTGGGGGGGGGGGGAGAGGAGGAAAACCAAGTGCCAAGTTCTCACTCGTCGCTCCGTGCGCATCGCGACGTCTCACGGGATCTCGGTCGCGAACGCAACAAAATCGCGACCGGCCGAATGCGGGTCAACGTTATTATTTTGCGACGTGGCTCATCGCCTCGGCGCTGTTCTGACGAATTAAATTAACCCTTAACATTTTCATATGTATTCTTCAAGCGAAGAGCGCACGGAAATATTGATAAAATGATTAATTAGAAGATGATAAAAATTACTTTGAAACTTTAAAATAAATGTTGTAAGTATTATTTAATAAAATGACAGAAGAAAAATATGCCACACATCGATAAGAGTTAAACTTCAATGTGAATATTTGTTAAAAGAAAATTCACTACTATTTACACAATTTCTGGTATTTTCATTTTCAATGAAAAGTGTCGACAAATATTAAAAATAGTGAATTAAGCATTTATGATATCCATTTTTGTTTTAATTCTGCATGATGCTGAGATGCATAATTCAAGATGGATATTAAAAGATTTTCTGCAGATAGATATATAAAAAAATCATAAAAAAGTTTCTTTAATAAAGCAGAGTTCTCAAGATAAAAATAATTACTTATTCTCTTTTAATTTAATTATTAATATTCTTAAAAGAAATTAGCGGATTATCGAATTTAATCATCAACATAGTCGAATCATCACGACATAAATAAAACATTGACCCCATTAAGCGATCGCGCGGAATGATTAGCCCGTCGATCATCGATCATCAATCAATTAATTTAACCCGTTTTGGTCTGAATCGATTTTATTTTCCTTTGAATGAATTTTTCTCGTAACATGCTACTAAAAAAAAAACATACTCCAAAATGTTCAAACGTGCTTCATCGCTGAAGAGCGATCACGGGGACGTGACATCCACTCGCAAATCTACATTTCGTACAATGGATCAAAGCGTAAATATTGAACCTCGGTCAAAAACGGGTTAATCTTCGGTGTACGCGAAGGACCATCGACACACCGATCGGCCGCGCCGGTGAGACGTCGGCGCGATCCAGCGAGATCACACGGGATGTTGATTTTGGTGGTTACAGGGATGGTACTTCCTGGTCACAAACGGGGCTGTCTTTCTATTTCTCGACGTTAGTGCCACGTATAGCAAAAACATTATTAAGACATACTTCCAGCCCGCTCTATTTTTTTGTTTTTGGCGCAAAGGAAAAGCCCAGAGTTTCGAAATACTGACCGTGACGGTGTAGGAGGAGACGAGCGGCCGCGAGTAGGGTCGCCGGGTGGTGTAGAAGTCGCTCTCGTAAACCATGATGCTGGGTTCCTCTTGGTCTACTCTCGAAGTTTCGATTGCTCTCGAATTCGTCGATTGGAAAGTCGGAGGTTCACGTTCGAGCTTTCGGACGTGGACGTGTCGTATGTTCGTGCGCGCGTGCGACAGAAGCGGAATACGCGACGACGATGCGGCCGCGTTGGAAGTTCGTACGGTTCTGCTTCCACTGCCAACTGCCGCTTCTTCTTCTTCTTCGTCCGGACTCACTTCTCGTCGGAGATGACCCTCTTCGCCGCGACCGCGTCCGCGACGTCTCCGCTCGCACTCGCGCGAGAGAGCATTGCGTCACGTTGCGGTTCGCCCGCGCGCCCCTCGAACCGATGCATCCACGAAAAAAATAGAATCGTGTTAAGGTTGCAGACGGTTACTCTTGTCAACGCAACTCCCACGATCGGCGCCTGATCGCTTGGATTTGGGATCAGTCGGCAGGTCGGCGATCACCTTAAGTAGGTCTCGAGAGGATTTTTTTTTATAATAAAAAGTGAATTGTAAAAATTAAAGAAAAATAGTAAAAATGCGAAGGAATTGAGTGACAAAAATTCAGAATTGAATTACGTTGCAAAGTCAAACCTAGAAATAAAATTAAATAATATTTTTCGATTTCCGAATAGGTAAAATTGACCACTCAAAAAAATATTTCGCTGATGTAGTTAGATTTCTAGATATCGCAACAAGAATGTATCGCTATTTTTCGTATCTGTGAAAACATTGTTTGTCACATATAGAATTTATAGCAGTAATGTTCTAGCAATAGCTTCTGAAAAATTTAGGTACCATTGCTAAATGTTATTCATTGCATGATCTAACACGTGATTGATCTTATATAGATAGGCGCTTTAGAGAAACTTTCTTTTTAAAGTTCACAAACAATACAGATATATATTCTGTTTCTGTCATCTAAACTGATTAAGTAATTACATATGCAATATCACAACAGTTGCTAATCATTTATCTGTTTTAGTTAATTTTTTACACCTAGAAAATTTTAGCTATTATTGCAAGATCATTTTTTTGAGTGACCGAAGATACATTCTTCATTTTCGATAAAATGTCATTTGTTCAATTTTGCTTATTGAAAACCCGGTGTTTTGAATTATTTTTTTCTTCTGTGCCGATCAATTTACTTCAATTGATGGGCGCGTGTTCTGTTTATAATCAGAAACCTTGCTTTTAAGCCTGATGCGTGGCCGAAAAAAAATGTGAAATTTTAAGAACGATATTCTTAGAATGATACATGGTTCGCATTCTGGAGCTGGACAATTGTGTCAAGGCACGGGCATTGAGGATTTTTTCCTCGAATATAAATCGATACTTAAATCTGCCTGTCATACCAATTCATCCGTGCGTTCCACATTATTCGTGATATCATATATAAAATTTAATTTTCAGTGACAAATATATAAGAGATATCTTCAATATTTATTGAGAAAATTGCACGAATTTGAGAGGAAATATATTTTGCAGACATCTCTTAGCATCAACTTACGACATATTTCGCTCTTCGCGCATGACAGTGTAAAGAAACAAAATGAAGTAAATCCTTTTATTGTTTCTGAAAATATCAATTCTCTGTCACGTAAATCTCGTAATTTTCTCGACGAGCAAAACGGACGCGATGGAAGACCATCATTCGAAGACGATTCATCCACGTTTGTTTATTCGCGGCCGTAATGTATACAACAATAAATTACGTTACATCAGATATTACACTGGCAGCCCCCCAGGATTTTGCACAATGGTCCGCGTGCGGATCGAGTGCCAAAGTTTATTCACAAAATGTAACACCGCGCGCGGACCGTCGCATTACTTTAAGACGAAAAAAACGCAATTCACAGTGTGAAAAATAAAATCGAACTAAATAACATACCGAAATAATATTAATGTCATGGAAGAATAAAATTCAACATTATGACTTCAAACTTTAAAAAAGTTTAGGATCCGCGATAAAAAAAAACTCGGTATACAAGCTGTTTGCTCCGCGAATGACGCAAGCCAAATTCCGAAATGTAACAAATCTAAAATATAGGTACGAATTGCCGCGATCACCCCCGCTTTCACAAATCTGTAAAGTATAATTCACGATACTGTCAAAATAAACTGTTCGCACACACACGAAGATTAGGTAATCACATTCGCGAATCGTCGTTTGGAAAGATTTATTTGGCCGGCGGAAGACGAGCGATAAATCGATCAGATATTTTTGCAGCAGCCCGAAAGTCCAGCGTCATAAATCTCGCAGAACGGGGACAAAGACTTCGCGTCACTCGAAACAACGTTTCTGTGACAAACGATTAAAGGGGCGATATATCTCGAAGTATTATTCAAGCCATTTGATTCTATTGCTCGCAGATCCAAGAGGAAACAATAAAGATTATTTTCCCTTCTTGATAATTTAAAAGTATCTTGGAAAATGCAATAAGCGACAAAACTGACGAGCAATGTGCTTTAAAGAAATTTATAGAAAAAGTTATCTATTGTAAAAAAAGTAGAAAAGAATATATGTATAGAATAATGAATTATCAAAATGTACAACATATTCTTATATATCAAAATAATACAAGAATAAAAACAAAATTAATGGAGAATTTGATTTGAATTTTATATGCAACAATTACCAAATATTTCATCTCGACACTCTTTTCTGAATTCGAATCGAATAATTATTCCTTATTGCTTTATTATCATTGCACAAATTTATGAAGGTGCGCATGTAATGTGATTGCGCGTATGTGCACTTTTATAACAGTATTATTAACCTTTTGTACATCAGTCTATACAAAATGTTGCATAAAATGCGCTTCCCTTTCTCATACGGTAGATAAGTGTCGATAAATATATATGACGAAGACAGTATGAAAAAGTTAATAATAAAGAAATAAACAACTGCCAGGCAGTTAGATCTCGCTGGGTCAGTGAACCTTCGCCTTTGCAGATTTCGCCTTCTTCAGCTTTTTCAGTCCACTTACATTCGTCTTTAAGAGATTCCAATACGCCTGTTGGAATTTGTTCACATCTTTGGAATGAATCTAGAAAACGAAAGTTGTATTTTAGAAGCGTACAAGCAAGTTGTCTTCTATCATTCAATAGATACATACAACAGTGGCAATCTTTTTATTGCGAAAAGATGCCCGAACTAAACAAAGATACTCCGTAGGAGTCGGTAGTGGTGGCCTGCCTTTCCTAGGCAATGGTTTGTTATGTCCATTAACTGCAAAGAACAAAATTTCTTAATGCAAGTACAACAAAAGAAAGAATATGCATAAATACTTTTATTATTTGAAAAAAGCATTAAATTATTTGTGTATTTATTTTTTACTCTTTTCTTATATTATTCGATTTCCTTTATTTTTTGTTAAACATTTGTAATTCAATATAGCTATAAATGTTTTCCAATTAAGTTAATTAGTAATTTATTTCATTCGTAAACATTAAAAATTCGAAGCAGTGCACTATACTTGCATTTTCGACAGAATAAAAATTTTCTTTATTGGAATTTTTGTTTTTGGATTTTAGGACTAAAGAATACAAACGAGGAATACTCACATCTCTTGATGGTGAGTGACACTGCACCAGAAAGACGCGACTTGTCAAAGAGTTTGGTTAGCTCCGCTAAGAACTGCAATAAAAATTCGTCAGTTAGACTCTTTTTTTTCTACGCATGAGAAAATAATCCACAAAATCGTTAAATTACTGCGTCATTCTCCAGTAGGACCATTCTGACAACGGTAGCATATGTCAAATGCCAGAACACGTCAAACGTAGTTTCGTCCACCGAGAGGTTAGATGAGGTTAGGAAATACAGCCGCACTTCTTGCTCATGTTGACAAAACCATCGACTATGCGAAACTTTTAGAAGATGGTGCACTCGTCAAAAGTCAGCCGTCAGTTTTCCAAATTTTTTACGTATAATATAATAAATGTTAAAAATTTTTTGGAGCAGTATATTATATTTTATAATAATAAGAATCTTTTTAGAAAAATTTTAACGTTTTGACAGAAATATACAAAAATTTTTACTTTTTTTATGCGGTCTCTTTTGCAAAATCGTTTTCCTCTCTGAGTTTAGTGAGTATTTAGTGACTAATGGCTGCCACCTCATCCACCTCATCGTGATGTTGACTGATGTTTTCTAGCCGCTGAATGTGATAGTGATACGTTTCGCACTCTTTCCAGATCATCACAAACAAGATGGACCACGCTCACCTTAAAATACTTCTCACGATCTTTGTGATCGGTCAAGCTCAAGCTATAATGTTTTATCTGGAGCCCAGCAATCATAAATGTCTGAAAGAAGAGGTCCACGCGAACGTGCTTGTCACAGGCGAATACGAAGTGTCTGAGGCACTAGGACAGAAGACAGATTACGTGGTGAGTAGATCCTGATCACCCACAGAAATAAGTTTTCATTCATCCTTTGCAAGCACTCCTGCAGAAATAGGTTAGACTGTTGTATAGGTTACATTAACTTCATGTGATCACAGCTGTTACAGGATTTTTACTTCTTTAAACATTAATATGATAATGCTGTTATATAATATTAATATAACATAATTAATAAAATAATATTGGTTTCTTAAATACTAATAAATATAAATAATCGACTTTATTATTTGCAGATTCAAGATTCCAAAGGACACATATTGTCCCAGAAGGATGATATTCCTCATGGAAAACTGTTGAAATTCTCCTTTGTAACTGAAACTTATGACACTTTCGAGATATGCTTTATTTCACATGTTCCAAACCGTATGTATATTTATTTTTTAAATTTAATCATTAAGTTTTTTTGAAATTTTTCTGTAATGTGATTTAATTAGATGAAAATAGGACAGATATACAAACAATTACATGTTTGTAGAATTCTAAAAGTTTATAAAATATAAAAGAGAGATAGTATTATAGTAATATATAATTTTCAAAGAATTACTCTTGCCAGATTTTATATAGAAATGATTTCAGATCAACGTGGTGTGAGGCAGGAAGTTATGCTGGTTATGAAACGCGGTATTGAAGCAAAAAGTTATGAAGGCGTAAGTTTACATGTCATATACTATAAAAAATAATTATATTTCTTACAAATTTTATACCTATCCTGCATCACTAGGAGAATAATTTTCTGATATTCTTTTATCTACTTTTTTATATGTGACTTGTTTCCGCGGTGCAGTTGGTAAAGTAGAGGTTTCAATATTGTGTTCTCACTAGCATGTGTTTTATCACAAACTGACCATTGAATACAACACGGCAGCTAGCTTAGAATTGAGTTGTTAGATAGTATAATTTTGATAATTTATGCATGTGGTTTTATCACGCAGATATTCCATTAACGAAGAATTATTAGTTTATCTACACGAACGCGATAATCAACTAGTTATTCTATATTTACAATTCAAATTTATCATATTTTTTTAAATACTTATATTTCAGAATGAATTTTTGGACCTCTGTTTATCAAGAAATTATTACAAATTCTAATATCTTTTTTCATTATTAGATACATTTTTTTAAATATGTTAATGGCATATCCATTGGTTTAATAGTGACATAAGCTAATACCGAATATTTCCGTATTTCATATTTTCTTTAACAATATTAAAAATAAATTTAAAACATTAATTTAATCGTATAATATTTTTTAAACTAAAACATTTTTTTTCTATTTATATTCTTTTTCAAAAAATTTTGAGTTTGTATGGAATAAAATATTTGGTATTATTTAAATAGTTTTTAGCAACTAATTGTGTAATTTCTGATATAGTACTTATATTCGACTTGAAATTTTGATAACAAGCTTGTCATGTAGTTAGATGACTATCATATTTTACCGCTCAAAAAGTTAAAACTATTGCAATTGGCCCTGTACATTACATTATCCCAGAATATTTTCTTTAGCTTTATACAGAACACACGCATATAAATTATGTATTTTTGGTTTCATTTTAGGTTTTTGCAGTAAATGTATTTTTTTCGATTGATCGGTCGCAATATTAACAAGAACGCTAAGATTTATATATTTATATTGATTATGTCACTGGTTTCCTTGAAAATCATCATTTTTTACGTTAACTAACAGATCGGCGAAGCAGCCAAGTTAAAACCAGTCGAAGTGGAATTGAAACGATTGGAAGACTTGTCTGAGGCGATAGTGCAAGACTTTGCCAGAATGCGCAAAAACGAGGAAGAAATGAGAGATACAAATGGTAAAAGAAAAAATATTTGAAAACATTTCTTATTACTTATTGCTATTACTTTTATGTTAATGATATGACTGTTGTTCAATTAAAAATATTGATTATTTAATTTTAAATTATACTTTTCAAATTCCAAACAAACTGCAATGCTTTCTCATAATTATGGAATGTTTCATGATACTGATAACACTCGATATCTAATGAATGACGGGGGATTTTTTTATTTCAGAGGCCACAAATACCCGCGTATTATACTTCAGTTTATTTTCGATCTGCATCGTTTTCGGTTTATCCACTTGGCAACTCTTCTACTTCCGACGTTTCTTCAGGATGAAGAAACTTATAGAGTAAATACAACAGATACGTTTAGATACGTTTTTGGTTTTTGTTACTTCTAACTTTGTGTTAGAATTTAAAAAAGTTTTATATTCATCATAAAAAAAGTTCGCAATATGTAAAAAGTCACAGTCATGCTGTCACATGATTAATCAATGTAAAATGCAATTTCTTATCATCTCACCACATGCTGCATATACATGTCGCTAACAGGAAAATATGAAACCCACTATTTAAACAAATATGTATTGTAAAATAAATTTCTTAAATAAAATATTGATTAAATAATACTGTATATTTATCTTAATTTCTGTTATTTATAAATACCTAACTGTAAATTAGCTATTTGCCTAAAAAATAAAGCGAAAGTAAAGCAAATTTTTGCACTGCACAGTTCAACTAATGTACGAAGTGAAGAACACGTCATCGTTTTAACATTTTATTTATAAAATAGAACATCTTATGAGAACAATAAATGGCCTAAAAAATATATAATGAAGAAACACCATTGGAAGACAAATTTATTTGTCGCTGTTTCCTTCCAAGGCGAATACCTTGAATTGTGTATGAATAAGTTTAGATTAATGTAATCACGATCGCTAGTAAAACGTACGGAACGCTATTCGCTCGTACGGCCTTTGAAAAATAACATTACATGTACAATAACATTACATGTACAATAACATTACATCGTACATGAATAAATATCTAACATTAGGTAACGTAGTAAATGCTCTTATACTTTTTAGAATCAGAAATTAAATTAATGGCACATGAGATGATCACAGATGTTCTAAGGTGCGATTTTACACTCGCAGCGGAACTCTTATTGCTACCTGATGACTTTTTCTTTAAGACGCAACGTGTTGTACTTATGTGTGAGTTTATTGTCTGTAAACGTATGACATGGCTAATCAGCAAGGTAAATAGCTATGTATTACATAATGAAACTTTTGTCCTTCAGCAATACGCAGAATAGGACAATAGCTTTGCACGTAACTGGTTTTTATTTGAATACATAAATCTAACTACACACAGAAAAATACATACTGTATTTAAGTAAATATTGCTTGTTTTAAGTATTTTATAAGTTCATATATACGCAAATCTATCGTAAGTTCATCATAAGCATCAAATTTATTCAAAATATATTTTGATCCCAGTAAGGCTGTGTTCCGAAATTCACTGCCAGTACTGAAAAGCTGCAGTTTACGTTACGTATATTATAGATTTTCAGTACTGGCAGTGAATTTCGGAACGCAGCCTAAGTTTAATACTTCAATCAAGAATATTAAATTAGAAAAAGAATTCTATTTGCTTATTAAATTAACCAAATCTGACTTTTCTTCGATACAATTTTATAATATTCTTCACCAAAAAATAACTACTTCTTTTGAGTATATGATAATGAGTTTATCAAAAATTTGTGATGGGTATATTTTAAGACTATTATCAAGAAAATATTCTTTATTAAAGATAATTGTTACTTAAAAAAAGAAAAGTAAGCCGAGTAATTACTTTTTTTAGCAATAGAATGATATTTTTCTGTGTGTAATTGATTCTTTATCACAAGATGAATAATCGTGGAATTAAAAATGGAGTTTACATTGTGTATTGCTGTCGGATTGTACGACGAACACCAAAATTCTAAATTTGCGACAATAAAATTACATATCATGTCAATTGCAATATTACATTTGTTATTTATAACTATCATTTTAATGTAACAATTACTAAAACAACCAACAATCAATAATAATTAATGTCGCAACATTCAAGATGAAATTCGTATTTATCTTTATTATACTCATTTCTATTTATTACATATTAATGTAACATTTATTATCGCAATAAAGTTAATAGAACTGCCACTGTCATTACGTTTATCATTTTTAACGATTATTTACGTTCTGTCGTTATATCTGCGCGGAAATATAATTTTTTTACTAATAAGTTTGTACAACACACAAGCTCGTCATTTACGTATTGTAAATAGATATTATGCAGCAAGAAATTCATTTTAACATATTTTATTTTGCAATAAATTCGCTTTTCTCTGACATGTTATCAAAAATACTTGTCACAATTACTATTTATCAAAATTAAAATAAATCAATAGAAAGATATGGAAATAGAAAAGAATAAAAATTGAAAAACCAACAAAAAAAGTTAGTTTGCTATCACAGAGATTTTGTTGCTTTACAAAATTAATTTTTATATATTTTTCAAGAATATTATTCTGTGACAATTTATTCATCATTTATCTTTTCTTTCGCAGAGTTAATTAATTACTGCATAACACTATCCTATCGTTGTCTAAACACTGTCTAAATTGCTGCAAACACCGTTTTATCACTAGCCTAAAATGAGAAGACCAACTAACAATAACAGGATCGAAGACAAAAATTTATCAGCAATCTCTCTTTCCCTCTTTCTCATTTGTACTGGTCTAAAATAGAACATTTTGTTTTCATTATATTTAAACAACGAAGAACATAAATAAATATTAGATATACATATATCGTTTTCTCCCTCGCCATATATCGGCAATTCTTTTAGAAGATTTAGTACCCTTCATTTTCTACTATAGATTCTTTAATTTGGCCATCAATCTTTCCATAGAAGATCAGTCGTCAACATTTTCATAAAAATTAGGTCATTATTTGACACAGCTTTCTAGTTTTTTCAACATCTTAAACATCTTAGATCAAATCTTAATTTGATCTCAATTTTAATAATTTCAAGTCTTAATTTAATTTTCCGTCAAAGACAAAATCTCAAATTCTAGAAGCAACCTTTTTGTATTATAATATTCAGCTATTATTTAGGGCCCTTATTTGAACACCACTGAACTTTGTTACAGAAAAACATTCAGAAATATATAGTATATATATCACGCTCTATTTTTGACACGCATGGTGCGTGCACGCTCGGAATATATCAAGTCTCAATCAGACTCTAGGCGGGAATGGATAATAGTGGAAATCGTTCATACCTGTAGAAACTCATATACCTGTAAAAGCTCAGTATGATCCACTTATCGATGCTCGTTACGCTAATCAACGTCCAGATTGTCAAGCCTTGGCGTTCTGGCGCCTTAGGTCGTTGGGTATAATAATCGTGATGAAGGCGCCGAGCGCGAGGGTGATGCACAGCGCAATGTTCGCCCAAAAATCACCCCACACGCCGAACAGGTAACCGTAGAGCGTCGTGAAGGCGATGCCGAAGATCTGAACTACTGCGTTCAGCAGACCCGCCGCCGTTCCTTCTGGCTCCGGGTACGTGAGCTCTGCAGCGAACTCAAAGCCGACCGGCAAATAACCAGTCATAAAGAAGCTAAAAATAAATTTCGAGATAGTTCCAAATCGGGACGATAATCTGTCTGAATAAGATGTCGAAAGTCGATTGCGCAAATTTTTAAGCAAGAGATAATGACTTTCGAGAAAAGAAACTTTTTTGCAAAGTTTGACGTCGAGCATCGAGCGCTCTAAATAAATTTGATGCATTTATAGAAAAAGTGATGATCGAGTTTTACCCCAAGAGACCAGCTGTCATATAGATGACGTATATTTTGCCGCTGGCCAGTGTAAAAGTGAAGATGATCATTCCCACGAAAGAACATAGGTAGACTCCCAACGTCGTTTCTCTGTAAAATTATAAATTTCTCGTGTCTTAAATCGCGTACGTTTGTTTCAATTGAATTAAAACGTGCAATTTGATAATACATTTTACATTAATAAAGCAAAATCAAAATTAGAAATCAATTTATCGCTTTGTCACAATGGTTTCGTTAAATAATATTAGAACAAAATACAGGATTTTGTAGAATAATTATAATATTTTATCACTCACTTGAATTTGTGTGTTTTGTCCAACACAATGCCGCATACAACCGAGCCCAGCATCCCGGCGCAAACAATCGCTAAGCCAATCCGACCGGCATCCTTTTCGTGTTTCTGAAGAGCAAAATATCGTTATTTCCTCTCACAAAAAATATATAATTTTATATTTACAAAAATTTAATTATTGTCTGAATAATCTGTATAAGAGACAAGATGCGAATTTTTAAGATATCCGACATTAGTGACGTGCACAATTGGAATAAAAATAAAATTCGAAATTAAAATCACAAATCAAAAAGCGAGTATTTACAAGTGGCAGGGGAATGTACTCACCGGAAAATGCTCGAGAACAATTTGATTCAAGAGGGTACTTATGGCGTAAAAAATGCCAACATTGATACCGTAACTAAGTAAAAGCAACAGGTAGCCGATATTGGTGAATAGCCTCTTGATAGACTGAAAGAAGTTTTCGTTGTTCTCAGTGTTCTCCCTTTGCACCGCTTGAGCGGGGCTAGGTGGTAAAGGTGGTGCCGATTTGAAAACTATAAATTAGCGATCTGTTAAGTGAAAAAATAATGCGGCTTGACAATAAAATCCCAAACTGAAAAAATAAAACGTACTTCGTAAATCTATGAAGACGATTGTTACATCGTTTAATCAAAATATATTTTTATGTGAAATGGTGTATATAAAATTCTTTATGTAGAATGATTTATTTCTTTTCATTTTAATTTTTCTTTTCTCTTTGGCGAATAATCCTCGAATCGTTAAACGTCGTCGATTGTAAGTCAAGTATTTTTTTATCCTTCAGTCTAGGGATTTTATTGACGGACTCTAAAGCTACTCGATAGACAGAAATTATACATACAGAGAAATATGAGGATTAACACGAGCGTGGTGAAAGCTGCGACGATGTAAAACATTAATCGCAACCCATCTCCGACGCAGTTGTCGTCGCATACGTTCTCATCGTAGCTGGGCACTAACATCGGCGGAAATAGGAAACCGATAGCTATACCGAGCTACAATAGAAAGCCAAAACGTAAATGCTGTAAAAAAAATCATTTCTTGCGATTTTACCTAATCGCAAGAAAGCATACAAAAAAAAACGTATTTGCTATGTAAATTCTCCCTCGCAGATTTTTCCAATACATACAACACATGCCTCTCCTGAAATACGGCGATCGTATATTTCAGAACATAATTCGCTATATTTTTCCAGACTCCATCGTCATCGAAATGGAACATTTTTATTTCCAATTCCACTTGTTCAAACAAGTGGTTTACACGTATGAATCAAGTGAAGTGGATGTACGTGATGTACATTGGAACTGCGTATTATATCCTAAAAATACTACATCTATCTACTTTTCCAACAAATAAGCTGCAAAACATGTATTTCAATACGAAATATAAATAATTAAAATAAAAAAAAAAAAAAAACGATGCAAATCTCATGCCTTTCTTCTGACAATTTTTAATTTCTAATACGATCGACCCGCAACTATAACGCGATCACGGCTGCCAAGCGCGCATCGCAAATTGAAGCTTTTATCGATTGCAAAATCGGTGCAATTAAGGCATGACGGAATCTCCGATAAAGTATGAGCGCAACATTGATAACATGATAGCGCGGCCGCGTCTGCACCTTGGATCAATTGAATCCCTCGCGACGTAGGGTGAGCCCCCTGTCCCTTCCTCCCATCCGTCCGCCCCCCCGCAACACGACCGTCTGTCGCTTGTAAGTAGTGAAATTAATCGTGGGTGTCCACTTCGGCTCGGTTTCCCACCTAATCACGTCGCAATTTAGATCTCTTCAAGCACCCTTCGTCGATTACCGAAATACTCCAGACTGCCACTTCCGTTGTTCCGCGCGCGAGGTCTCATTGTTTGCACGCGCACCGACACGTGTCACTATATATGACAATCGAGTGTCTTCTCAATGTCGTGCGCTCTTAAAATACGTGATAGCACTCACATTGACGTTTGACGTCATGGAGAATGCTATATAATAATTCTAGGGTGCGTTCAGAAACTACGTTGCGTATACTATAGATAATAGACAAAGACTTTCACCCAGAGTGTAGTTTCTGAATGCAGCCCTATAAAATAATAGCGCGCGTTCATCTCGAGAGGAAAAACTTGCGTGAAAGCTGTCAGAAATTTTTAGATCGATGACTTATCAATTGAAAGATTACATAGAATTAGATTAAGTTCAATTGAATCTACTTATCTGAACGAGAGAGCTTATATATACCTTATGATAACAGCAGACACCGGAAAACAGAACGGAAATAAAGGAAAGAAATAAAAGTAATAATAAATCAGCTGGAAAATTCCTGGGAATTTTCAACTTTCTGACTTTTTGATTAAAATTGTTTAAAATTAAATTACGTTTAATTAAATGTAAATTGTTGCGTGCAGATATGCGGTGAATGAGGAAGTTATTAATTTATAACAAAAGAGATGGGATTAACAAGGATATTATGATTATTTCAAATAATAATTAATTATCTCGTAATTTATGTAGAATGAGGAAAAAGATATATAAGAAATTTAATATTCAAGTAAACAGATATCTTCGAGTACGTTTATTCGACTCATCATTAGATTACGTCGATGATACTTTATCGCTCACTTTTGATCTGCGTGTAATTAGAACGATTTTATTGTGCAGATTAACAAGTCTTCTTTTTACTTCGTGAAATTAACACGTTGTAGACAAGTGATATCTTTTCTAGTATAACAATTCTAGCGTATGTTTCACGATCATATTTGCACAAAGATAAGAAGAGAGTCTAATATTAAATTCTTACACAATTCGAAAACTAATCAAACATGACGATTATTTCCATTTAATTTATTTCTATTTTATTTTTCGATGTTCAAATATTGATAAAAATTTTCAGAGACGATAAAATAATAAAAAATTAATATAAAGACATAATAAAAAAATTAATTAAAAAGTCTCAAGGTAGAAGCTTTCAATGCACATTAAAATAAAATAAAATATTATTATCGCACGATATTTATTTACATATTTCTATATCTACCTGATTGCCGAAGACACCGATGCTGCAGGCGCTGCTAACTTGATCAGGTCCGAACCACACCGCAGCTAGCCGGGCTGGAACGGATAGAATGAAGGTCTGGCTGATTGCCACCAAACTTTGGCCGATGAATGTAATCCAGAAGCGATCAGTGCTCACGCTGAATACCTTTACCCAGGAACCGAGGACAGTTCCTAACGCTCCGAAAAGCGCGGCGTACCTGAGACCCTAAAATTATCCCCATCCCCCAATCGTTTATTTATACAAAAATTAACAAGCAGAAATTTTCGCGATTACGGCTAGTAAAATATTTCCTTTAACGATTACTTGAAAGGTGACTTTCGAAAGAGATCGCGGTAACTTTTGCGAATCGCACTTCCTGGATATCGTCGTGACAAAATCCAAACTATCTCGTCTATTTAGTTTCATTTATTCGATAATAAACACATAACTGTGAATTTTATGTAAAACGATATTTTATTGTTTGATGACGATTAGATAAGAGACGTCACACATACACGTCATACACGTATTACAAGTTATAATAAATTATGTAATCTTTATTTGCCGCAATAATATATTATCGTACTTGGAACAATACGCAAATCGAGAAGTCAAATATTTGGAAAATTATTATATAGCTGCTTGCTAATCAAATATTTGAATAAAGCCGAAATATTTTGAAAATTTTTCAAGCGAAAAGAATTTGTATCTACGAGAACAATTTTGGAACGATTTTTTAGAATATTTTTAAGATATCGCGTTTCGCTATTCGAAAAAACAATTTTCACTACTTTGTTCCACTTGTTAAAAAATACTTACAAACTTATCGAGCAGATAACTAGCCGGAAATATTAATGGTATATACGTTATCATATATATCATGCTTGTCATGTCCACTAGGAAACTTGTAACACGATAATACCGCGTTACAATATTCGCTATAATACTGTATTGAATCCATTGCATGGCGTTGCTCGCGCTGTACAGCACGAAGATGACTAAGATCAGCCATCGCCTCGTGTAAACCTTCGTCTCCAGGCTCTGCGAATAATATTTTCGATCTGTTGATTTCTCGCTCATCAAAAATATAAATATTGTACATCACTACGTGATTTGCTATTGTGAGCTTCTCGTTTATTAACGAAAGAACGGAAACTAAGAAAGTTATGCTAACTTTCTATAAATATACTGACGTAAGTGAAAATTAGGAAACATTAAGAAATTGAATTTATCTTGTTTTTTTATTTTGAGATAGCACTGGCTACAGAATTAATATAGCTTCCAGCTTTTTATTTCCTAATTTAGAAAATAATTTACTATAATTTAGATAATTTAATATACAAAGAAATATGAAATAAAGAATATAACTAAAAGATTGTAACACAATATATACTGAATTTTTATTTTCTAATCGATGGAATAGCAGGAGGATCTCAAGCCAAAAATTTTTATTTTCTATTTTTCTATTTATATTTTACTCATTGACTCTGTAATATTTTTTGTCAAACGTTAACGAATAATAAAATTATAGATACCTATAAATTCTTTTTTTCCTTAATTTCCACTTACCACGCTGTACTTTATTAGTCATAAAAGTGACGCTGTATTATGTACATACTGGTACGCGCTAATGGCGATAAAAGTGATATTAAATCGGATTATATAGACTTTCATTCTCCCTCGAATCTCGTAATGTCATTATAAAAATCCATTTATCTTTCGAAAATGTAGTTCTTAAAAATGAAAGCTTAAAGGTCAAATTTTATATAATTATTCTCTAGCTAATGATTTAAAATTTGCATAATGTTAAAGATAGTAAATTCGAAGCGATGACTATTTCGTTAATTTTCAATAATGTTCAAAGTTTGCAGCTGTGTCTTGTTTCCGTAACTATCGTGACTAGATTGACAACAAAATTATTCACCTGCGTTGGTTGCACGCCATCCTCAATAGGCTTTACGCAATCGCCGGAGGTTTTTCCCATTTTGTCAGACGTCTGCGTCTGTTCCGACTCCGTAACCAACATGTTTAATACGTAATATTAACGAGATTTATTAAATCGAGCAGAAGTATTGTCAAGAGACGAACCAAGATCCTTTCTCTCTCGTTGACACCGCTTTACTTCCTAAAATCCAAACAAACGTCTATCTTCGAATGTACCTTTCAGGCATCAATACTTCGATGAAAGCGATATTATAAACCTCTATTTTTAATGAGCGCGTCAATATTTCGATAAAAGCATCAACATTTCAATAAACACGATATTTTAAATCACTATTCTTAATGTGCATCTAATGCGTTTATTAAACGTTGTATCGACAAATGTCTGAGAAATTATATTTCAAACGTTAATCTAGAATTTCACTGCGGCTTTGCGAGAAACTTTGTGTACAGAATGTACGATATCAATAATTAAGACTTTGCAATCTAAAATAAGCTGCTTTGAACGTCCCACGAGAATCATGCATATGCATGATCTTTGTATATCTTGGACGCGCATCTGACGATATCAATATTGTTTTGAACGAGTTGCTGAAGATATAAATGTGTAAAAACATGTGTAGAAAACAATACGTACATTCAGAACGCTGAATCCAAACTTGTGGACAACTATAATTTCACATTAAAGCTATGTTTGGAAATTGGTCGCGTTGCTAATCGAGGATTAAATGTCGAGGATTGATAAGATTAATATTTATGCATGTTGACCATGCAATGCAATTTATATTTGAATATCGTCATGGCAAATAAGTAGATTGATTCGACGAAAGATATCTGCGGCTTGTTAATTTTTTGCGAAACTTCATAAGTAAATTGCAATTAGCTTCTAATGGATAAATATTGTTTTATGAAAAAGCCTAACGTATAATCAAATTACTTGTTCATGGAATATAGATTTGAATAGTAAATGTTACTTAAACATATGCATATATAAAATGTCTTTATATATTCAGCAACATAATACTCAAGTATTCACCGGCATAATTTAATATTTTCATATGTATTAATATTTACAATAAAGAATGAATTAAATATTAAAATATTTTGTCACATCATAGTCGAGTATTAATTTCTATTAATGATCTATTAAACAATTTATAATAAAGGCACGTTAATTGAAAATTATAAAAATAATAAAGGCCAATATGAGCCGAACACAAATAGAAGAATGAAATCAATCATATTCAAACACTCAGAAATAGAATCTATTAATGAACATCGATGGAACTCTTCTCGATAACATTTTTGTGTCAAATTCTCTGCGCGCGGGCGATATTTTAGCCCTCGTGAAAAATTATAAATATGTAAATTCAATTGAGATAGTCGAGAATATTGAATCTAAAACAATTATTTTACACAGAAACGCGTATACCGCACACCTCTTTATTACGAGATAAATTAAAAGGATAATTTTCCGATAACTTTACCAGGATAAATAACGGTCCCGCCAAAATCACAATCCCTCCCGCATCGGGATGTCCATCACTAATGTCCTGTTGCGCGTTCGCGAACGTCTTCCTAGGTGTTACAGCGGATGTTACATTGGTCCGTCACGGCTCGGTGCCGGCATCACGATGACGATGATAACGGAGCAGCTCGCGCTCTCGCGAAGCGCCGGACATGAACTAAAGTGTATCGCGGATTCGCGAGAGTGCCCATCCTTCCACTCGACTAAACCGTCTGTATTCATCGTTCTCTCCCCGTCACCCGCGTCGCGTAATCGTACGTAAAAATATTTACGCACACAGGTACGTGTGTTGTCTGTATAGGCAGGCTACGCGCGCACCTATCAATGGCGATATCGTTGACGAATGCGCCGTCGCAATGCTAGTCGTTCACGAGTGCTCGACGGAATCGCCGACTATCCGGACTGTCATTGTCAACTGCGGACACTCCGGTGGATACTTTGTGGATCCGCATTTTTGTAAAGTTACTGCGAGCGATAGGCCACGTTTTGCAATTCAGACATATTTTCCTGCCACTGCAATTTTGCCACGCGACAGTGACGCGTGAAATAAAAATTGTTGAAGCATTTAAAGTTGGTAAAGTTTTTGTCTTCTTGTAATTGTGTCTAATATTGTGAAAATTTATTAAATTCCTGTGAATTTTAATTAATGTTGATAGAAATGGTTTCTATATAAACATGTTGATCATTTCGGAATTATATATAGATGTGAAAATGTTTGTTTTAGAAAAGAATTTCTTGTCTCCTATAATTATCGTAAAGTAATGAACTGTTACGTGATGCATGCCACCAGCTATTTGTCTAATTTACATTATAATTGCACTGCGATGAATTATTCGACGAATGCAACAACAACACTTTTTCTTTTTCAATTAATTTAGCGAACAGATTCAGGATAAGCTTGATATGATAACATTTTTATCATGCACTAAATTTCCTGTAAAAAAGAGTAAAAGAAAATGCGACATAGCTAATTATTACGTTATTAGATAAACATTCTATCAACAGGTACTGATTTTACATGTACGCAGATAGATAACTATAAAACACTATAAAAAAATGTACAGTCTCGGAAAAATTTCTAAAGAAATAAACATATAAATTTCCAAGCTTTTATCGTTACTTTCCGATGACCCAGATTCTTCCCGATCGGGATAGATTTCTTTAACGCGAAAACATCATAAAACTAACAAAACAAAGTCACGATCAAATACCGAATAGCGTTTGCAAACATCAAAACATTTTGGCCGATTTATCTATATTCAGTTTAATTAACTTAAAAATTAATGAGAATGTATTGATTAATATGTAATGATAATATGTAATTGATTAATATGTAATAATTTGCAACGGTTAGTATTTCATTGTGGCTCTAGTTAAACAGAAGTTAACAAAAATAATATAATCGATTTATTTAATACCCTCCCAATTGCATGCGGAACATAATTTTTCGCACAGCTTTTTTTTAACACTAGACAAGCCACAGCGAGCGAAAAACACTACGAGCATAATTACTGTCTTATCAGCCGCATGCAGCCACGTAAAATAGCGTGAAACGTGAGCTAGAGTCATCGCTTCGAATTACACGAAAGTATACAAGCGACAGTCTTGTTTTATGCTTAATAACTTGGAACCGCTCGTAAATACAACATTATAAGCAACGCTTAAGATAAAAACACTTTACTGCTGGGAAAAATCTGTAGGAAAGTGGTGAGCTCTTTAAAAAATAGATTTTACTTCTCTTATGTTTCTGCGATATCTGTTATTATTTTATATGCATATATTTCGTATTATATTATGACTTTAATCATTTGTGTGACATAATTTATAGGATAGATATAAATTAAAGATTTATGATAAAATTGTATTTGTAATTTAACAATATAAAGATTTCTTCTATATCGATTTCAAAATCCATCATTAGAAAGCAGAAACATAAGCGTTAAATCCATTTTATTAATGTTTCTAATAATCCCTGTATTATTGTTGAACGCACATAAAAGTCTATTGATTTTTCAGTTCACGCTTTTCTTCTTACCTGCCGAGGAGTCGACGAGAGAAGATCGAACTCTTCAGGAAGTTTTCGGATCTCTTCCATTACTACAACTAGATTCTATTTTTTTCCGCTTTTGATCACCACAAACACGCGAGACATAAATTCAATCGAGTTAAACCGGCTGGAATTTCACGACAGAAATACCGTGAAGTGCAAAATTGATTCAGACGGCGATAACTATTTATCAATCTGCTGACACTTTGCGACTGAGTATCGTTTTCTCCTTGATCAACCAAAGCGGCGTGCCACGTGTGTTCACAAGCTACAGTCTGTGAAAAGAATGATCTTTTCCATTTTGAGGTGTTCGTTTTAATAAAATCAGCGAAGTTACGTTTGCGAAATGTGAACGCGGACTAAAGTTCTCACGAGCCAAACAACCAATAACCCGGCAAACATGATTTCATTTAGCGTAGATAGTAGAGTCACGTGATTCTTTATCGCTCTCTATCACAAAATTAGTATTACATACCAAGAAACATTTACAGTATCCTGAGAAAACACAACTATTTCGAATATGTTAACGAGACACGCCTACTTACGTCTACGGGAGATAACTATATACAAAAAAAATTTTATATTATATTACATTTTATTCTATATTTAATAGTTTCTAAGCGATGATTAAAAAACTGACCATTTCCGTAACGAGAGAAATGCATTTATATAATTAATATGATAATTCGCTTTTTATTCTGAGGTTTGTCCATTTAAAATGTAACGCGTTTTCACCACGCAAAAGTTCGTGCAGATAATTACGTAATTAATCGAATAGCAAAGCCTTGACAATAATTAATATTGTGATTCTTACTTATTTATAAGTGAAAAAATAACATTAAAAACATGTTTTTTATTACTACGCAAAACATTTTTAATGAAAGAAATAAAGCATTGAATAAATAGCTAAGAATTGTAATTTCTTTTAGCAGCGAGGCATCTCCACCAAAATAATCGTTCTGAGATACAATCACGTGAACTCAAATTGAAAAAACTGTTAACAATAAATAATGCGATACACAATATCCTCACGATATAACATGTCAAAAACATCATTTACGTCTCAACAATTCAACCGGCACAAATAGCGCATAGATATTGAAAGTAAAATGGCAGTTATGTAAGCAATACTGCTATTAGACGATTAATCTTATGTTATTTATTTACACATTAGTGAAAATACGACATGATGTGATAATTGCATATCTCTGTTTCAGACATACTGTCACTAGACATACGGTGAAATAAATATTCAAGAGCTTAATATAAAGTATTTTGGAGCTCAATTTAAAAACCTAAATATTAAGTTTATAATATTTTACGGCAGAATTAGATACATTGTTGGCTTGATTAAATATGAGAAATTACGAAGAAACTTAAATTATTAAATTAATAATTAAAGTTTAATAATTTAAGTTTCTTCGTAATTTCTCATATTTAATCAAGCTAACAATGTATCTAATTCTGCCGTCAAATATTATTATAAACTTAATATTTAGCTTTTTAAATTGGATCCAAAATACTTTGAATTAAGCTCTTGAATTATTTAGTAATAGTATTAGTAATAGTAAAAGTATTTAGTAATAGTAAGAAACTTAAATTATTAAGTTTTTTAGTAAGAAAAATTAAAAATTTTTTTTTTGTAAAAAGAGAAACAAAAACCCAAGCATAAAAACTGGTGTCCATACATTACTTAAAAATTTATATTTATGCGAAACGTAACAGTGTTGAAAAATACAAAAGCCTTCAACATGTTCAATGCCATGACACGTATTCATTTTATCGATAATATTTATTTATCAATGACAAATGACTAGACATTCGGCAAGCAATTTCGTTTTAGTAAAAGAAATTTGATAAACAACATAAATCGTTCATGGATAACCAGCATATTTTTTTACATTAAATAATCGACGATAGAACCGAAAACATTATAATCCGATTCTTTTATTTCAATTGTTGTATTGCTCTTTTATTGTATATTTTATACAAAAAATATTAATATAAATATTACTGCACGTGTGATTAGTAGAGATTGAGAATTAATATATACAGAAATAACTGTAATATTTAAGTTGTATAAACGGTGCTGCATTTTGAGGCCTCAACAGGTGGAAATGCGTCGCTGTAATTCACGTGCTTCGCACGTAACGATGAAGCAGTGTCATGCATCATGCGATCCGAAGGCGAGATCTCTTCACTCGTGGTACAGTCACATGCCCAACCGCGGAACTTGATCTCACAATCAGTTGAACCTTATCGCGAACGTAGAACGGATATGCGTGAAACGCGAGTGTAATACACTCTTGCGAGACCACTCGTGCGGGAAAAAGCGATTGCGCTTTCATGTCGCTACAATAGAGGATATTCTTCCTTCTCTTTCGTGGGACAGACAAATGGGCGCGAGAAAAGACTTTGCGGGAATAAAGTGAAAGTGCAAGTCCGACGTTGTGAATAGGAAGATGCTAGAACTCAGAAAAGCGAAACTTACATTAAGCGTTTTGCAACATTTGTGGTAAAGTTGAGAAAACTTCTCACTAATAATAATTGAATAAAAATTGATTAGATACTTTCTTATTCTAAAATTTAATTAGAAACTGTTAATTTTGCTACACAATTTCACATGTGTATACAAAGAATAGGCTTATATTAACTCGATATGAAAAAAGTTTGAAGAAAATAAATTACTCTTTGCTTCTGTAACTCTCACTTTCTTGATAACATTGAATATTATAAAGAAACATGAATAATTATAATATTAATCAGACAATAATCAGAGAGATCCGATCCGGAATATTCAATTTTCGAAGTGCAGCATAAGATACCAAAAATAAATGGAGCAAAATATTATAAATAACGCGTAATTCAAAATCGTAATAAATTTGTTTTTTAATTTTTTCAAGTATTTTAATCTCTTGAATTTCTTGAATTCTTGAACTTGATAAATAATCGAAAGAAGATATTTTTATGACCAAGAGCTATTCAGTCCAAAGGTCATGCCAAATCGATAAAAATCGAATACAGTAATGGTGTTCTCCTTAAAAATAGACTTGCACATTTAGATATAAAGCAGGAAAGCGCTTATCTGCGCCTTGCATTCTAACGGCACATATGCATCCAATAACTTTTAACGTCAAAAAGATTTATATATTCTATAAATAAGAAGTAAGATAAGCTAACGATTCTAATTCAACACTTTAGTATTTCAATATTTTTACATAAAAATATACATGATATAAAAAATGATTTAATTTCACTGAAATATCTACTAATCTCCTTTAATTTATTTTTTCTAGATTATTGCAGAAGGTTTTAAAATGTAAAGTGTCAAAAAGAATTATATATTATAATCTAACATGAAAAAAATCTACATTAAAATAGATATATAATTCACGAATTATCGAATCCACGAAGATAATTCGCGTTTATATTCAGTCACTTGACAATTGTTACATAAGATAAAAGCATCCTTTGGCTTACTAATGACCTTAACAAAATTAAAGATTAAATTTTAATTGTATTAATTGTACGCGATTATTATTAAAAATGTTAACCGAGTTAAGTATAAAATTATTCAATAAAAAATATATATTGCTATTAATTGTTGAATTTAACACGTGACAGAGATAGATTGCAATTCGCGAAGACAGCATATTCTCGACAAACACTCGCGTATGATAAATTGGAGTTCAGGTGAAATGACAAGATCTTTCGGAGCATGTCCTTGCCTGCGCCTGGCAATGCGTCGTGACGATGCTAATCGCTCGAGAATATTTCCGCGCACTCCGCGTTATATCAAATGATTGACATCGATTATATCGATAGCTTATATGTATCATATCGTGAAAAGCACAATCAACAGTCGACCGAAGTGCGTGATTCCAGTCGCATCAAAATATTTCCGGGCTTTTAAAAAGATTGCTCGAAGGGAAGAACGGGAAGCTTCGAAGAGAAATCGTCCTTTATCTCATTTCATTGAGGATATATATTCGCGTTTTCTGAGTTGACTCGATAGTTCGTGAATCATATATCTATATAAGCAAAAAAGGAAATATGATAATTTCGCCCACCAGCTTACTAGCAGTCGGAGTGGCTTCTGGAATTTGTCTGTATTTCGGCCTTATATCGAGGTAAGTCCATTTTAAAAATTCTAAAGATTGTAAATTGATTCTAATTTTTCTTGTAATCCTGTATGATTCTTTACCATTCTTTTGCCGCACAATGCTGGATTATTTGCTTTCAATTACTTCTTCATAGAGGAAGGCTTAAATTAAAGATTTATGCAAGTGAGTTAAATATTTAAAAAGTTTTACATTAAAAAAATTTTTTTTTATTCTATACACTTTAATTCTATACTTTAATTCTATACTACAAATAGTATTTTAAGATCATGAATTTTGAATATGAGAGGAGATAAATAGACTCTCTCCAGTTTATAAATTCCGGAAAAAATATTAAATTAAAAACTTTAGTAATAACTTTGATATTTTCGACATTTTTAATTCTGTAATGCGCTAAGAAATTTGTATTCCTAACTTATCCCGGTTTTTAATCTTTTTCCTTAGTCTTTTCTTCAGTCTTTTTCCTTATTTATTCCTAAAGTCTTAGAAGTTTTTCAAATGTAGATGTAGTCTTTCAAACAAAAAATATGGTGGAAATATTTTCTCACTCTTTTGTTTCTTTTATCAAACGTTTTATTTTAAAGCGATGCTGTGATAACAATTCAGAAATTCCAGGATTAACCGGTGGATTTATCGATAAATCGTACTTACGTTCTTTATCGTGCCTCTTATGTCAACGTTCAAGTTCTTTTTTATAATACTCCGTAAAAAAATGTGTTGTCTCATGATAATCTCGCCGATGTGCTATTTGTCGCGATATTTTATCACGGAAAACAATCACGTTCGTTCTAAACAATTTAAATCTGCTTTTTTAGTTATATTTCCTGCATTTAAAGCAATATAATCACACATATATTTTGGAAACAGAAGCACGGGTCTTCATTCACATTGTTCATCAAATTCAGAGTTTTATCAGTTGCCCGTCGGTGAAGATAAACGTTGTAGCTTGACAATGCCTGGCCGCTACTTCGTAACTGTTTTAGAACCGTTCGTGACGCCAGCCAGCCAACTAGATAACTCGTTTTTCATCCAAATTGAAACGCGTCAGGCTTATTAATTCGAAGCAAATCGATACCGAATGCAGGCTGGAATTGTAAGATAACGAAGCAGTGTTGCCTACCGGTGACCCAGATTAAAAATTAATTTCACTTTTCGTGTTACCAGCGTATCATTCCTTATAATAGCGGTTACAGTAAAGTGACGTAGGCTCTCTTGTATTGTCTTTCGATATTTTCCATTTATATTTGGACGAGTTATTTCGAAAAGAGATCTGCTTTATTATTTGATGAGCTTCTGTGACACATATGAACTTAATTGAAGTAAACTTGTAAAACAATAGTGAGAAAGAATTATTTATGTCACGTAAAAAAACTCTTCTTCCTAAATTATCTTCACAGCAAGAGCTGTAAAATAATCCATATCCTCACTGATATCATTGAGAAAAAACTCAAATCGTCACAATAAAAGTTTTCAATGATAAAATAATCATTGTAAAGCTGATAAAAGAATCTTATCGGCATTAATCAAGCCAATGGAATTAATCAATAATCTTGAACAGATCGATAACCGTAATAGGATTCTCAATAAATAAAAAATAAATAAATAATTAATTTTACCATCGCACAGCTATTATTATCTTCATAATTTCAATGACCTCATTTCGCTCTAGCTCAAATTATTATCTAACATTAAAAAAAAATGCAAATCCTGTTTCCCAATTGCAATTTGCAAATTCAGTGAACTGTCTTTCCTACATTCGTTTGACATTAATTTTATATCTTATGGCACAT